GGTAAGAGACGTCGACGAGATCGAAGTCGACGTACCGAGTGACCGGCTGGTGAAATTTTTACGATTGGCCACTTTCCACGAAGAACGTCCAAACTTTTGTTCCTTTTTCGCGGCCGAAAGGCGTTGCTTTCGCCGCGTGTCTTCCACGTGAAAAAAGAACGCCTCCGAAAACCCTAATGAGAATTAAATTATAGCCTCCTTGGTCTTTGACGTCTCGTCAAATTTTCGAAAATGATTTTCGGGCTCCTGCAGTCCTCAGGTACCAGGGAAAGAAAAAAAAAAAAAAACATTTGCACTATCGAAATGTTTGCAACTGCATCAAAAGTTGATGTAATCAACTAAGAGCTTCCTTCAAAATAAAATGTTAATAAAATTCGCAAATTAATTCGCAGCAAAAGCCAACAAAACATTGTTGTTACTGCTTGATCGACTGAGTGATGTTTGTTCTCGCTAAAAATGAATATTGAAACCGTGGATATAATTTGTGCTGCCCCAGGTTTTCTTGTTCTTATTTCTACAGCTAAAACATTTCTGCAAAAAACATCTTGCTGGCCCATTTTCAAGTGTTTACATTTGCCGAAGGATCTTTTTTAATCATGACTGTGAATTATTTTCCTGCGTGTGTACGTTCAACTACACGATACATTTTATCTTTACTCCGATAATCCCGCTTATATTAAATCCGATTTTTTTCCAGGGGCTATCGTACAGAAGATTCAAGGAATTTTAATTAATTGCAACGAGGATCTCCCGATCGGAGCGTACATTCCGCAAATGTACTGATAACAAGTACGACATTGCGGATGCAAAGTTCTCCAGGCGGCATTCATCGAGCGACTTGCGGTCATACGTTTGCGCATCGTTCTTCCTATCCCCGGCTATTTTAGTTTTTCTTCGATTTTCGTTGATGATCTTCCTCCGGTTAATTGGTAGCTGATGAATAGGCCGATAGTAATTAATTTAACGACGCCTAGTGGACTCTCGTTGAATTCCAGGCCCCGTTTTGCCGGTAAGAATTAATGCCTGTATCGGCTTCGCAAGAAAGGATCGCGAGTGATCACTCGTCATAAAAAATGCTCCTTTTGTGCATCTACGACTCAACTACCGAGTAATGCCGAGAGGAAAACGTTTCCAACGCGTTCACTGCGGGACACTTGTCCACTGGAATGATAACTACAGTGGGTACACCTGAAATTGCAATCATTACGCCGCCCCTTGGAGGAAAGGGGTGGCTCATTAAGTTATTAAACAACGCATAAATATTTACCGCATTCCATTAGAATCGGTACCGTAGATACTGTTACCATTACAGTAAAGGATCGTTATTATTATTACTTTCAGACCGCGCTCGCACTCAAGTGGGTACTAATAGTTTCCCTCAGTACCGACGCACGTGTAATTATTGAACTTATGTGCACTCTCTAAGAGTCGATATTTGCGCGTACGTGGGGTTTCATGCCAAAGCGAGTGCCCCGTGGTGAACAAAAACGTAATTTATGAGCAAGGTGGTTCAAGGAACCCGAGCCACCACCCAGGTCATCAGATGGGGCTGCTCCTCCAGGACTTCGGCTAGATCCTCGGTACCTCCTGGGTGTGCAATTACTCTTAATTGCTGTTATTCCACGCAGAACAAAATAGCAAATATGCTTAACGATGTGCTTAGTCGAACGCCGGGGTTGGAACAGGTTGATAAAATTAATTCATGGAACGTTCCCCGAGGAAGGCTCCCTACTATCGGGGAGATGTATAGTCATTTGCCTCTCTTTTTGCATACCTATGCGATTGTTAAATTTACACGATCTTGAATAAACGAGGCATTTGTATATTTAACATATGAAATATTGCGATATTGAGCGCTTGATGCAGGGAAGAAATATAGTTTACGAGTGACCCAGCTATAATCGCAATTTTTCTATCAGAGAAACGTACGGCATATTTCCTCTCCCTCTACATATCTATGACTGCTAAATTTAACGAATTTAGATAAATCACATATCTGTATATTTTATCCATGAAAATTGCATTATTGAGCGCCTGGAATGGGAGAAAAGTGTAATTTATAAGCAGAATAACTATAATTGCAATTACAGGGACATCAAGATGTACAGTGATAATTTTTTGCGAATCCATGAGATTGTTAATTTTCCGTAACTTTAGCGAAACAAGAGATTTTATATATCTCGTATATGAAATTTTGCGGTATTAAAGATGGGAAAATATAATTTGTAACAACTGGAAGAGGTCGAGCCACCACTTTTTAGAAAAGCTGCTCATTTGTACCCTAAGAAAACAAATTTCATTGAACCAGAGAAACGTTTCTTTGAATAGTACCGAAGAAATATTTTGTCATTACAAAGAATAATTATTTGACTGAAATAAACTCGTATAAATTGGTTAGAAAATTTCTTTGGAATTATGACAATATATTTGAGTTTATTTCAGTCAAATTATTGTTTGTGTTCGCAAAATATTTCTTTGATACTATTCAAAGAAATGTTTCTGGAGTTCAATGCAATTTTTTCTCAGCGTACTGCCTCGGACCTTGGTTAAATCCTCGCCTCGCGGTACCTCCCAGGTGCGCGGTTACTCTTAATTACCGTATCCAAGGTGGGCTAAAGTGAAATTACTATAAAACGGTCCCAAGCGAGTCGGCAGAGCGAGTGGGCGCTCTTAAAAGCTTCCAGCTCGCAAAGTAACGAAGCGAAAGGCAGTGCTCCGGGTCGCGAACTTCTGCTCGTTTACGAACCTTAACGATTAAAGCGTTTTCACTAATTAGCCTCCGACCTGACCTCAACTCCTCTTTTATTCGACCAAGTGCAACCGGCGATGAGATTGCTGTTCCATAAACATGGCCGTTCAAATTAGACATTTCCTGTTTTCGTCGATGTAAACGCCCGTTCCGGGATAAATAAAAATGACCTGGCGAATATATCTGTTATTTCATGGAATTAAGAATTAATTGCTCATGGGAAAATCAAGTTCGCATAAGAGAGAGCCACCAGGACGAGAAAAGAAACGGTTCTTCCATTCTGGGACAGGGACCCCTAATTATAATCAAGTGAAACGAATTTATCGAAATTTTAAGCACTTGCGTTGATGAACGATTGGTTTATCCTATACATTTCGTATTAGTTAAAACTTCAATGAGCTCAAAGGTCCGACGGATCCTAACGATCCTAGATTCCAGAATATCTGGAATGATATACCGCTCGTGTGGGAGAAAACGTGTAATTTCGATTGCTAATTAATTCGGGGAGAGTCTAAATTAGTTTATCCTATTCATTATAGGATAGATTTATGTAGTTTCATACAAATGAAAGTACTATATATCGTATCTAGCAAATGTTGATGTTTTAATGAACTGTACCTCGTGTAGAATAACATGTATTAGGTATCGCAATCACCCGATTTAGTAAAAACTGATTTCTACTATTTATGGAGAGTGAATTATTTCAACAATTCTTTGTTTAGCAATTAAAATAGGAAACGGAAATTTATTTGGGGATGTTTCTGCACACCAAAGGTACTTTCCGTGAGAATCATGCAGTTCCGTGAGATATGACCCAGATGATATTATATACAATGTCCAAGAGAGGTGATAATCTTTTTTTAAAATCAAGGTTTTAAGTTTTAAGGAAATTTCGGTCTCTTGAACCGTACAGTTCGAAACTTCGCCATGTTAACTCGACTCGCTCTTAAGGAGCTTCATTTCGTTCTTTCACTTAAACTTTTAATTGCACGCCGCCATGCCAAGAGACTAGTAGCATTTGCTTCGTCGCGGATCCGCCTTAGCGCTGGGAGCGCGAACCTTTTTAATTTTACGAGGCTGTCGGGCGCTTCTTCGGCCACTTGTAAAGTTAATATTTATGAGGTTGCTAACCACCGTCATCACTCATCCCAACTCGTTAAGCTTTGACCGGTTAAACCCAAGCTTTATGCTTACATCTGAAGGACAAGATTCGTCATACTCTCCCGATCCAGGGAGCACTTTCGCCGCCTTGGAATGCGGTCCGATGAACGCTTTTATTGCGAGAAATAGGAGCACTTTCGGCGAAAATTCTCGCTCGATTGCAAGGTACGAAACGCGGGAAGAGATTGCGGCTTTCCCGTTAAGGTTATGAAAGCGCCGATCGCTGAATGAAGCACCGATAATGACGTGAATCAACCGTCGTGAATCAACCGGCAAAGAGACCGACGCCGGTGAATTGACGCAAGTTTGGCATTAAATTCGCCCGTGTCGAACGTTCCGTCTGAAAAAAAAAAGTTACATTGACTCGCGCCGACACGCTTGCGACACGGCGAAAGGTAGCCAGTCGGAAGCAACAGGTGTTTTCAATGTAAACAACTTCACGTCGTTCCGGTAGCGCCGCCTGGCGGCAGACCGGCGAAACCGGCCGCGCGAGCATCTCACTCGGTCGGTAAGGAAGAACACCCAGAATCTAGAAACCGGCAGTTGGAAAAGTTACCTCTTCGATTTACAGAGCAAAGATCGTAACTTAAAAACATTTACATGAATATATGTGGAAGACCATGATTATTCAAAAGAAAAATTTGATAAACATAGAATCGATGAAATAAATTGCGCCGGAATTATTTCAATACTATATTTTCAGTAAAATCTTTAAAAAAAAAATAGGAATTTACTTCTGAAAATGTAAATATACTACCGACATGTATGTAAAATGAGAATGGTTAACGTATCTTCATTCAGAGTTATTGGTCTAGTGAAAAGGCTTATGGTATGACATTTTTAATAAGCGGGTAATAACACATATTATTTTGTTAGGAATAATTGACATGTCATGAATGTGTGATTTTTTGCAAGGGTTGAGAATATTTGTTTCCTAACTGTAGTATCTGTAGTTATTGTAAATGTCGTTCTTTCTGTATTTAGTCGGAGTCCGCAATGTTTCTGAAAATGACATGCACGAAATCCAAGGACGTACCTACGTCCTCGAAGTCGCCGATAATGTTATCGATAGTACTCGGCAGGTACTTACCCTGAAACAGAGGTCGGCGCTCACGCGAGCCAGGTCATCTAATGGCTTGAAAATGACGTCGTGAAATTCGGGATAACTCCGAGCCAATGGCCGTGCATACAATTCCTTGGCACTGCAAAGCGTCTCGCGATACTCCTCTTCGGCATGCAGAAGTTTCTCCGTAGCTCTGTATCTCCTATCCGTGTCTGGAATAACAATAAATTTCTTAATACGTAACTTTTCACCGACTCCACTCCTCAACAGTAATTTAAATTTAGTCCCGACAAAATGGATCTAGATTTCAGTTCCTAAATGGCGTAACAAACACGTGACGAAATAAAAATCTACTTTCAAGTACATTGCATAAGTTAAAGCAATTACAGAATATAAATTACTGTTGCGCAGTAAATTATTCGTTATACAAAGTAATATATGATCTTAACCTCAAAATTAATCTCATAAGAATACGATTACTAGCTGGGAAAAAAATCATTCATTATACCCTGAGAAAAAGAAATTCATTGAAATATTTCTTTGAATGGCACCAATGAAATATTTTGATAATTCAAGGAATTATTATTCTACTCAAATAAACTCCAATAAATTATCATAATTCGGAGGAAATGTTGCGTCCAATTTATTCCAGTTTATTTGAGTTAAATAATTATTCTTTGGATTAACAAAATATTTCTCTGGTACAATGCAATTTTTTTCCTCAGGGTGCAAATATGCGATCCTAACCTCGAAATGAACCACGTATAAATTTAGTCATTTGTATGGTACATTACATTTTATTATACATTACATAATAAATGATGATAAAGATACTTGGTATCTTTACATTTTAGTATAAGATATATTAAACCTTTCTGTTGGATTACTTTTATACCTAACATGTAAGTCAAAATATCAACTTGTATGTTACTAAATATAATAAAGAAATAATTAGAACATTTGTTTACCTCCAATAGGGTTCAACTGCCGAGCAGAATCCTCGATGAGCAGGACTTCACCGTGAAGAAGAGCCACATCGGCTGCAGGGTCCACTTCGGCTCTGGAACCCGCCAGGAGCAACCTGGGTCGGCAAACCCGATATTTCAAGAGTATCGGAGCGACCACCGAGGAGACAGGTCCTGGAGAAACTGCTGGTAGCTGTAACCAAAGAAATACCGACGAGTCAATACCTTCCTAGCCCAGGGGAATGTTGTTTACCAACATTTTCCATCGCTTTGGGGTCTTTGGACCACCCGGATTACTTGTCCATGCCCGCATATATGTATTTCAATAGAATAAAACAACATTCATTTGCGTTACATTTTTCTTATCCATGACATACATAAAAAAAACACGTCAAACGACTCATAGGTATACATCTGCACCGTAAAGATAGATACTGGACTTTCGGCTTTTGCCAATGTGGAGTTATTATTTTTTTGTCCTTTGATTTCGATTTTCTATCGCGAAAGTTTTCCAAATGACTCCGAAAATGGACTTACTACTCTTTATTTCTACGCTATAGATTTCCACGGGAGAGTATCATCAAACTAATCGTTAATAAAGAATCGAAGAAACGCAATGCGGAATAATAGATCTAATTAAAAGAAAACAGAATTTTTTTGATTTGTTATTTCTCTGCATTAGTATGGAGACGAAAAACGCGTCAAACGTCTTTTGGATGTATACGGGAGAAATGATTACATTCCTGGCAGAGTAATTAATTCTTAGCGGTAGAGTTTTCTTCTTAAAGTATGTATAGATTGTTAAGCATGGAAATGACCCTGCTCAGTTAAATCGTCGCTTTCTTCTTTTTAAAAGCGTCATGAGATACCACAATTCCGGACGCATTTCCGAACCGGTTCCGTCGCCATATTGGATCCGAACCATCATGTAGCTTTAACCTCTTCTCCGATATTTTTTCCAGGAACGAAAAAGATAGATGATAGAACCACTCCCCCGTCTCTCTGAGTTTTTACCGACCCTAAAGAAAATCGATTTGGGATCCTTGGGCCCGTCTTGCGGAATGTCCTAATTTCCTAGACCGAACAAAAAGGAAGAAAAAAAAAGAACTAGAAATTATAATTTCGCGCTACTCCCATCGCGGTTTCTACTCGCCCAGCGGAATGTGCGACAAGCGATATTAAATCATCTTTATAACCAATCGCCCGTGGAAAAATAACTCACAACCATAACAACAAATTATGCAAAGCTTCAAATGTGTACACTTGTAAATGGACCAGTAAATTTTTTCCAGAAACGTTTTTGTTAGATTCAGTGGAACAAAATAAACACTTAATTCATTCGGGACAATACAAATTCTATACACGATTGTAATATTCTTTACTAACGACAACAAATTGTATATCGCTAGTAAGTTCCAATAGTGCCAACGATATTTTTTTTTGGGCGTTGCTACAAATTCATTTGCTAATTTAGCAAACATTTTTTCTAAATAGAGCTCTCTTATGGGTACATCTACGTTGGATATAGTTGCATTCTCGCTGTTGGTGCAATTATTCCTGCAGTAAGAACTTCGTCAGTAATGATTTTCTTTGCTAGAAGTGCGTATGTTTTTTTTCTTCTTTCCGTGCTATGAGAAATAATTCCCGAAAGAGAGGTCGATGGCTCAACTTTCACCGCGGCTCCTAATCCGGCTTGGAGTCGGATAAACGGCGAATCTGTGGCAAATCGACGCTAAATCGACATTGAACCGGATAGATCGGCGGCATATCGGCAGTAAATCGAACGAAGTGAGAGAATGCGATAACGCCGCTGCCCCTGAATCGCCGATCAGCGTTCGATCGGCGCTCGATCGGCGCATCGCCGGCCGATACTCGCGGAATTCCGCAGCGGATTCAATGCGATCGAGAGCGAATACCGGCACCGCGTTGGCCGCAACCGGCCGCCTTGGCCGAAGACCTTGACCATCTCTTTGCCGATCCACTTTGCTCGTCGGCATCGAAACTTCGAGAGGGAACATATCGGCCGCAAATGTTACGCATTCAGTAGTAGTAACTTGTGATCGGACTTATAAGTTTGTAATAATTCAAGTTGAAAATAGTTACTTCAAATGAGCGTCACGAACGCAGGATTTGGAGTACAATATGAGAATTTAAAATAGAGGGGCGGTAATGGCATCGGTTATGTTCGAAACGCAAATATACATTTATTTCTGATTTTGTAGAATCGAGGTGCAAATTAATATTAAATCGACCTCAGAAACTACAATTTTTAAATACCAATTCAGAGAGGACCTTGAGGTTCTGAGTCTAGGAACGGGGTTTTACATAAATTATTGTTAAAAATTGTATTATTAAAATTTGCGCATTTAAGATTTTACTTGTTATAAATATAATGAACTCGTTTTCAGGTCTACTTTGTATAAAATCACTCTATTCTGAAATTGTTGAAGCTTCGATTCCATTGAACGCTCCAAGGACATTGAGGTTATAATTTGAAAAATGAACTTTAAAGGGAATTAAGTGACAAAAATGAGAAGAAAATCTCTATCGGCGAATTAAATGATTAAAAGAATAGAGGATTTATGGGTTTTAAATTGAGACCGATAATTCCCGACTGAAATATCGGTTGGAAAAATTACACACCTAGAAGTCGTACTTGCAACTCGCGATAGGGATTATTACTTTATAACAAGTCCTTAATAGTCATGGACGTGCCTTTTCAACGGCTGCGGCGAGGATCGCGAGGATTGAGAAATTATTTCGCTTAGAATGCACATATGCATCCTGCGGATGCATGTAATCCGCGTATGGCATCCATAAGCGGTGCGCGCAACTGTGCCACCAATAATTAAACTTATTTTATGCCCCGTGGTTTAATTACAGGTAATAACGCCGACTGTAAAGATTGTAATAAACGTAGGTATTAGCATGATATTATAGTTATCTTTACGGAGTAAATGTCGTGTTCCTCATGGGGAACGTACGGGTGTGCGTGATTGCAGAAATATAGCGAGAAGTGATCCCGCCGGTGTAATTTTGAGGTTATGACTGACTAAAAATTCAGGACATACTTCATCTATTTCTAAAAACGAATGGTTGATCTTGAATTTAATATTAATTCCCTGATAGTTTGTTGAAAGTAAATGGTTGAACTTTATTATTTTCAAATAGCTCTAAAATCAAACGAAGGTTGCGATGCATCTCGTAGAAGAGTCGATGAATCGAATGAATCCTCGATCCTTCTTCCTTCAAGATCAGGTCCTGCGTCGCCTCTCAAGGGTCATCCTCGCTTTCGCGTTGTTTACATTTTCTCAAGAGCAAGATGGGGATGACGTAGCCCAGAAGAGAAGGAATGCGCGTTTAATCGTATGTGTCTCCTTCCATTGTTTTACAAAATTTTGAAATGTTCACGGTCGATCACCTGACTTCAATCTTGACATTCTTAATAATCGGACCGTAACAATAAAAAATCGAAGCAAATTTATCACGAATGCAAAGGCGGCTTAATCGACCACTCATAAGAGCAAAGTGCGTAGCAATGGTCCAATCAGAATCATTCAGTGCGTAACCCGACGCCATTTCTGTAATCATTACCGAACGCCTTATGGCACGTCAGGAGTGATATGAGCTTATCGCTGCAGGAATTTTCGGAGGGCGTAACATCTACATTGGAATACGATAATCGAGCTCGTTATCACTAATTATAAAGGCGCCTTTGTATTCTGTTGAGCCACGCTATTCCATCCTGTGCTCCTCCTTCGATACCCTATACGCAAAAAAAAATTGTTCCATTAAACAAATTTGCTTAATTGATCGCATCAAGTTCATTTCGGAAAATGTTTTGGTCAACTGGCCGAGTTCGTATGCTTCAATCAACTTTTAACGGGTTTTGATTCAATAGTTTCAATTGAATATATTTCTCTGACTACAAAAAAAAAACTATTGTTCCCTATAATTAATGATTGTATCATAGATCAGATAATTCGCGGAATCGAATAATTCTGGATTTATCCGTAAGTTCAAAAAATTTCATTTCCCCGCATTTGAAGAAGATCAATGAAGATGGAAGTCAGGGTTAACGAAATCGAGATCGACCGAGATTCCGAAAACGTCGAGACGACGCATCAAGTGCGCGGAGCGTCTCGACGCTTACGTCGCGTCGTCAGAGCTGCTCGCAGGACGCTCGATCAAACCGCCCACTCTCGCTTTTAATAAAGCCAAACCGGAATCGTATGCCTGAATCTAAATTGCATAATTATAGCGCTCTCTCTCGCTCCCATTGGCGAGCCTATCTCACCGTCTCGCTCCAGCTGATCCATCGCGCTCTCTCTTTCACGTCCGCTCAGCTGCGCTCGGCTAAGGCCGGCCCAAGCCTCCCTTCGAGTCGCGGTTTCTTTTTTTACGAATCTTACCGGCATCCTTTTTCTCGCGCGACCGGCCCGGGGAATAACAAGATTATAAATAACGTAATATAAACGCGGCGAGGCGGCATTACGCCGCGGGACCATAAAAATATCCACCAAATTAAGCGACCGCTTTTCTTTTCTAAAGTGAAAACGCTCTTATCGACCATCTTGCTTCAGGAAATCCCGGAAGCTGAAATCGGCGACTCGAAAAAGGACATATTAGATCGTTGCAGAGGTTTTGCTGTTTTCTGGCAACCTTTTTTACCATCTTATCGACTGACTGGTTGATTTATTGGTTACTGATTACTAACTGACCTTATGTTACTGGCCAAATTTCAGTATTTCAAAGTTCACCTATGAAAGGACTCAAAGATGGAAATAATTCAGGAGAATTATCGTATACCGTACGTGATACTTTATCAGAAAATACCTGGCGGTGAAGAAAGATGCACATAATCGAAATTTCAAGTTTAAGAAAATTATTATTTTTTTTTTATGAATTATTTAGACTCACAGTGGAGAAAAATCGGTATGATAGAACGATGGAATCGAAGATCAGTTTGCGAAGACCAGATTCTGCAGCTGCAAACGGCTCACACGGAAGTCGCCAATTTGAATTTTTATTAGTAAGTAATTTGTCATATTTTTATTTCGCCTGCACGTTCCGCTAAAACTGATTATTTCTTGTTGGGATAACCGTTTAGCAAAACCGTTTGCATAAGTAGTTTACATAATGTAATGACATAACGAGACCGTGGGTGGTCGAATAGGCACATGATACGTACAT